AGGTAACTGCAGACATTGTTTGGACACGGCCTTCTGCCTTATTGGACACGACATTCAGATCGGACTTACACTCTACATTGGGATTGAACTGTGTGCGACATTTGGAGATCAGACTTGGGTTGGACTTGGCTACCTCTATGTCCCTCCCCCTTCTCTCTCGCATGTCTATGGATCTCTCCCCATGTGTGTGAGCGGAAGGGCAATCTTCCTGGTGTCTTGCCCTTCCGAAGTTTCTCCCTTTCATGTTGTTGTCCACGTGTCCTTTGATACCAGATCTTCCGCTGCGCTGCTTCCCAGCCTATGATGATGATGATACGAATGTGTTATTATTGATTTCCCGTTGTTTCACTCTTTGCGTCGCGCACATTGACACCTTGTGAATGTTGCACCTATGTTGCTGGTTGTTGCCACTTTCGTCATTGCTAGATCCTAGGCTTTCAGTGCATTTCACTTTCTGATATGCTACACTCTCCCAAGCTATGACAAACTCCCACCATTAAGGCTAAATGGACTTCTCTCCTACAGCCTGGGGGCTATGGCGAATCACCTCCTTGGACCAACACCACCTTTACCAGCCTCAGTAGTCACTCTCACTAGCCTACAACCTCCCCCGAGCCTCTAGATCGGGAACGGTTCCCGTCGTCTCACTCCAAGTAAGCGAAGTGCTTACATGAGCTCACTTGGGCAGCATAAGCTCTTCTCATGCAAATGTGAGTGTGGAGATGAGGTCCTCCTGACTGATTCGGTCACTTTGCTCGTTTGCCTAAGACATTGAAATGGGGTTGGAGATGAGGTCTTTCTGACTGATCCGGTCGCTTTGCTCGTTTGCTTAAGACATTTAAATGGTGCTGAAGATGAGGTCCTCCTGACTCATCCGATTGCGTTGGTCGTTTGCCTTAGACATTGAAATGAGGCTGGAGATGAGGTCTTCCTGACTGATCCGGTCGCTTTGCTCGTTTACCTAGGACATTGAAATGGGGCTGGAAATGAGGTTCTCTTGACTGATCCGGTCGCTTTGCTCGTTTGCTTATGACATTGAAATGGGGTTGGAGATGAGGTCCCCCTGACTGATCCGATTGCTTTGCTCGTTTGCTTAAGCTGTTTAAATGAGGCTGAAGATGAGGTCCTCCTAACTAATCAGGTCGCTTTGCTCAGCCAGAGAGTTTTGTTTGGTGACAAAGGTCTGACTCTTCTCCTCGTGAGGATAGTCCAGACTAATGTGATAATGATTGTATGGGGTTTGACTGAGAACAACTTGGGAAGTTAAAAATTAACTGAGTAAAATACAGGACTCATGTTTTTGTAATCAGGACAAATAAAAGATGAAAACTTTTGATGAATGAACCATTGTTTTGATTTTGCTAAATGCGTTGTGGACATGACATGCTTGCTGGCAATGCTTTGTCCTTTTGCTCAAACTTTGTCTATCTTCTGCATTATAGAGTAGTCTATTAGTGCTTGCTTTATGCTTGAGCAATAGACAAACATATGCTCACTTTTGTTTTCGCATTTGTTTCTTCATGGATGATTGGTAGGACATTAGCTAGCCTATGAATTAATAAAAGTTTTGGGAGCCTCTTTTCCTTGGAGGAGGTGCTGCCAAAATTTCTGCTAAATACGTTAGGCAAGAGATGTCAACTAGGATAGGGTATAGTTTAGTCTCTTGAGTCAGTAGGAATTCTGGACGCGTTCCGTCCTAGAGGAAGTGCTGCCGAAATTTCTATCGAAATAAAAAAGTTAGTTTAAATATTTTCTGAGTTTCAAGTTTTTCTTTTTAGATTTTGTATAGTAAGTATTCTACGAGCACACTTCCTTAAAGCCAGTGCTACCAAAATTTTGGGGATTTTCACATCGTTACCGGACACTACTGCTAAGTAGCTTAGAGTCAATACGGAGTTGAACTCCGTTAACTCGACAGGTGATGTCTGCCTTGATTTTGTGACACATGCCATTGCTACCGCGAGTGTCATTCGAAGTCTTGAGCTTCATAAACTTTCTCTATCAAATTGATAGCAGGTCAGTTTGCAAACCAACTCCTACCCATCATGATACCCACGCCCAGATGTTTGTGACCCGTAGGCAAAAGGCATTTCCGTGTGAGTGAAATTCCTATCCTCTTAACCTTCTTTGAATGGTCACGTAAAAATTGTGTGAAATGGATCGGATGGGTATGCCTTTGTTAAGTGGGGGTCGGAAAGGGGCGTATGGGACATGAACCTGGGAACGAAGGGGTTGAACACGTTTGTGGCATTTGCGGGTGAATTTTCGTTGGGTTTTATGTACGTGCAGGTATGTATAGGGGCGAGGATTCGCCCATGGATTAAACCACCAGTTCACGCCCCGCACTGTCCCTGCTATTGCAGTAAACTGTACCCAGGCCTGTGCCCTGCGGCAGAGAGCAGTCAGTCAGTCAATATGGCTTTCTGACGAAGGACACAGGCCTGGGTGCAGTTTACTGCATTAGCAGGGACAGTGCGGGGCGTGAACTGGTGGTTTAAAGATAATGTGATGATTGAATGCAGGGTGTGGATGACAAAATCCAACTGTGGCTGTGAGAATGACTCTCCCTGATTACCTCCAAGACTCCCTTTTTTTTTTTTTTCCATCTACGCTCTCTCATGTCGCATGCATCTAGCGAAAAGACAGGAGTAGTCGAGCGCCAGGGTCAGCGCTCGACATTCGATCGGATTGGGATTCAATTCGGGTAGGACGGGTTGCTCGCTAAACTACCCCCTAATACCTTTTCAGAAGGGAGGAATGAGCGAACCTCATCTAAAGGGGTTTTGCTTCTTATATTATTGGCCGGACGTTGGTCCTGAGCTTGAAATTCGAAGTCCTTGTTCAAGATATCCCAGACTCTGGTCCGACACAAAAGGGTTTCCCCCATGAGCCGGACCTATGCAACTCTGCACGGGCCTCGCTCAGACGCTTTAGCTTTTTGGAGTTATGGGTTAGGACGTATGAAAAAGGGACTAGGCTTATTTGTTTGTTTGAGTTATTTTGTTTTATTGTGGGTCGCGTGGTTGAGTTAGGATGTCCTAGTCAACCGACACTGAATTGCACGTGGGAGATCAACACCCCAGAGTGACGGTTCGCGTCCGGGTCCGAGCTAGTCGTGGACTGTGCGTACCCCCTATGCTACAACATACGAAAAATGCCCTCGGCTGGGTCACCTCTGCGATTGTACGTAAAAACTTTCGCGCGTGGTTCAGTAGCTCGGCGAGGATATACCCACCCAAGGGATGGTGATAGCTCCCGCGGGTGGAGGTAAGTTGTACCTCACGAGACCTTATCCTGTCATAGGGACTCGATGGAGGTATAGCTGACGTACTCGGCCAGAGCGGCTCAACTGCTTCCCCTTTCGTGAAGCGACTTGCGATTCTGCCAATCCTACGTGACGGGGCCGAAAAGGTCCCCCTCCGCGGGGTCCGTGCGATCGACATTGGGTAGGAAGAACGTAGCAGAGGGAGTGTTGGTGTTTATCAACAAGGACAAAAGGGAGATTAAATAAAAAAAAGTGCAAGAATATGAAATTACCTACACGTTGTTCTTCGAAGCAAATTTTGTGAGGAAGATGGTGGCATGCTACGAAGTTCCCCTAGTGGGTGAGTGCAAATTTCAAACTCTGCAAGGTTTTCGTAAATGTGTTTACTGATCGATCTCATTTCTTAAGCTTGACACCCCATGAATTGGACTACCAAATGAATCTGGTTTTCCCTTTCATGTCCAACACAAATCGAGCACAGTTTAGCAACAGCAGAGTTGGAAGCTCCAAATGAAAGATCAAGATTGAGTAGTCACGACTGACGTGGACTTGGAAAAACAATGGCTTTTTTTTCCTCTAGTTGAGTCCTTGATTAGAGCGGTGAAAAAAACTTTGTCTTTAGCTCTTCAACGTGAGTCAGTGAAAGAGATGTGAGTCCTTAAACGAGAATTTGTTTTAGGAGATGCAATGTTTGAGCCCACTCTCTGTCTTTCTATCTTTTTCTCTCTCTTTTTTTTTATTGCTCTCCAGTTACTCTCCAATTACTCTCTCTCTCTCTCTCTCTCTCTCTCTCTCTCTCTAATGCTTGCTCTCATATCTCTTGTTTTTTTCTTTTGTCTCTTACTCTTTTGCGCTTACTTTCTGCCTCTCTCACGTTCTCACACTTTGTCTTTCACTTTCTTGTTATTTTGTATCAGGCTATGCTTGGCGTATAATTATTTCATTTCTACAATGGGTTTGAAAACAAAATTTGCACTAGTTGTCACGCATCTTGAGTTCACGACATAAACATTAGTTTACAATGAAGGCTATTGAATTGTAAAATTGACGATTTGATTTCTGGTTATGAGCCCTTGAGTGGCGCTTTCATTTTAAGAGATGAAGAATCTCTCTCTCTCTCTCTCTCTCTCTCTCTCTTTCTCTCTCTCTCTCTCTCTCTCTCTCTCTCTCTCTTCTTTGCTTTCTGTTTTTCTTTTCTGTACGACTTTCGCCCTCGATTTCTCTCTCACTCTCTCCCTCTTTCGCTGGTTAGCCTTAACTCTGTCTCCCTCTCTCTCGTTCTCTCCCTCTCTCTCCCTGTCTCTCCATTAACAAAACTTGTGGTTCTTAAATTAAGGATCTGCACTTATAAAAGAAAAAAAAATATGGGATTGTGCGTAATAGAGAATATTTACTGGCAATAATGAACTATCTGGGACAGAGTAGGACCTCACGGAAAGTGGGGAATCAACAATAGAAACCCCTCCTAATGAGATTTGGTGTAAAACGTCACAAGAATGATCAACCTAGGATATGCTAGGTTCCAACAAACTTAGAATTTCGGGGAATGCATACCAAGTAGTAGGACCTGCAGTTAGTCCGATAGGTTGGCACGTAGCCAATGACTGGCCAATTAGTGGGATGATGACAAAAATAGGAGTAGGGGCTGTAAGGACAGTAACACAAGTAGGTGCGCAGGATGTCATGGGGAGTATTGGGGCCATTAAGGAAGTGACTTTGGCCGACCGTTCGGCCAAAGTGGTAACTTTTGGCAAGCCATTAAATAGCGATCGATGCTAGGCGGGGATGGAAGAACTTAGAAGCGCTGGAGTAGGAAAAACGTAATAAAGGATAGGCCTTGGACATATCAAACTGACCCGGGGCCGAAAAATGGTGAAAAGAAGAGTATGAAGCCGCTGAGATGCGGACTTGTGTTATTTGAGAATCCACAAAATGGCACAAGGAGATGAAACGAGGCCTAGAGGATGTAGTAAGGCCGGTAGAAGTGAAAAAAGGAAGAGTAGGGGGCGCTTGCCTACTTGGCGGCAAGCTTGAGAAACAAAGATCCAGGTGCAGTTGAGTTAGAAAATTAGGTCTTGGGAAGGTTCAAGTTATAACGGATAGGCATGTTTAAAGAGGACGAGGCAGGTGAGAGTAAGAAAGAGTAAGTGGGGGCTGCATACCTACTTTGGGGCTAAGTAGGCTTAGAAAATTGAAGAGTATATGCATGAAATTTAGAATTTTAGGCTCTTTAAAGATCAAGTATATGATGGCATATGACTAGATAAGGAGAAGGTTCTAAAGAGAAATCAGAGAGGTAGGAGGGATATGAGGGAGAAAAGGACAAGTGGCCGCCTCATGACCAAATTGGGCCGCGACAAATAATGGCCTTGTACGTCGCGACCATCACTATGCGACCATGTTGTGCCTCTAGTACCAGCGGGAGTGTACTTTTTGACTTTGACATACATTTTTTGTTTTGATGCCCCCCCCATAATAGAAGGGGGGTTTTCTTGTTGGGGGGAAAAAAAAGATAATCCCCACTACTACACCCGGGCTTGAAAGTGCAACACCGCTAGCCAAGCTTTTCGCCAGTCGCACATGTCACTTCTTTTTTGGCTGGCGCCACCAGCCTTTATGGTCCGGTAGCGATTTTCTACAACCACCTACATCAAACAAAATAATATACAAAGTGCAGGTTTACAGCCCAACATAAGCTAGCAAAAACTCTTTTTGTCCCACCGGTGACTGGGGTATCCCCATATACATCCCCAACATCGGTCCAGCCCGTTTCCCTAGGTATGCCTTTGACAGGCGGGTTCTCAGCAGGTCCCAGTGTACAGATTCCTGTACAGTTAGTGTATTCCCAACCTCCGTTGCAGGTTGCTGTAACTGGGCAGCCTGATGTCTCGCAGCCTGCACAGCCGCAGGGTTCACAGCCCCAACAGCTAGTGCAGCCACCTGCACCACAGGGTCCACAAGCCGGATTGATGCAGGGACCGGGACAAAGTCAGTGGGTTCCAAAGACGACCATCGCCGCTCCTAAACCCTTTACAGGGGATAAGAGGGGCGAAGACCTCGACACTTGGTTGAGGGCAGTGCCAGTCTATGTCAAGTGCAAACTTACCTTGCCACACGAGGAAGTGTTTGTGGCTGCCTCTTATCTAGAGGGGAGTGCAACACGATGGTTGAGTGGTTTAGTGCAGCTACAGGGGTACGGTCATGACTTTCGCGCTTGGGCTGTCACCCAGAAATTGGATGACTTCCTCAAGTTGGTGGAAGTCGGGTCGCATGATCCTCAGGAAGCCCAAAAGGTTACTGATGCGATCCTAACACTGCATACTCGACAACTTAAATCAGTTAGGGAGGCAACTGACGCTGTAGAGCGTCTGATCTGTGTCCCTGGGGAGCGCTATGACCCCCATGTGTTACTCACCTCCTACCTGAGATGCTGTCCCATGACTCTCAGGAATCAATTGGCAGGTGAGGGCAACATCAATATGCACAACTTTCCCTCATTTAGCAAGAAGGCCCTAGACCTTGAGGCAAAGATAGGGCATGGGCAGACACCCACGACAGATGGTAGGAGAAAGTCACTGCTTCCCAACTGGAAGGCGAAGGGTCGCATTATGTTTGTCGATAACGATGGTTCAACCATCGAGTTAGATGACAACTTCCAGGAGGGAGTAGGTTCAGAGTCTGGCAGCATTGAGGCTTCAGGGGGTGGAGTAGTCGTAGCACAAAAAGGAAAGGCGACCGGTAGACGCCGTGGAGTTCCCGGTCTAGGAGTCAAGTTGACCCCAATGCTCCTCCATGGGAGAAAACGGGTCTCACAGAGGACGTGTGGAGAGACAGGTACACCCGACAGACCTGTATTCGTTGTGGCCAATATGGCCACAACCAATTCAAGTGCCGCAATAAGAAGGTGACTGAAAAGATCCCGCCTACGATGGGGCAGGCGTTGGGATCCTCTGCTCCCGTTGGTAGCAATGTGGCCAGTAGTTCTGGCACTGCTCTGGGAAACACATCGGGCCAGTAGGAATGGTAGCTGTTCCTGCTAGGGTCGAGATGGTGGACACACCCTCACCATCTCGAGAGATGGCCCAAGCTACTGACTCCATAGTTGTCCTGCAAACACATTCTGACCCATCGAGCCTCTGTTCGATGAATGCGTTTGAATCCTTAGAGGAGCTAGAGGAGGAGTGGTCTAGATCAGACCCACTAGCTTCTTGGACGACATTGGTCAAAGCCCCTAAGGGAGAGATGTTCGTCGACGAGGTAGTCATCGACGGCCGCAAGGCCGGGGCCTTTTTTGACAATTGCTCGACTCGGAATTTCATTAGTCGCACGTGCGTTGAGAGGCTGTGGTTACAGGGGCTAGTGCAACGCCCGAGTCCACCTGTGGAGTCGACCTGTGCCAACAAACAGCGCATGGTAGTCAGCGACTACCTCCAGGATGTTGAGTGTTGTTTCCCGTACGCGGGAGGGGAATTGAGACATCGTGTTTCATTCCTAGTGAGCGATGATCTCCCTATGGATATCTTGTTAGGTATGTACTACCTCTCCGTGGCACAACCCCTGTTTGATTGGGACCGAAAAGTGGTCAAACACACTTTGCCAGGTGGAGGGACCGCCAGATCACGTAAGTTCAAAGCTAGTAGTCTAATTGAGTCCCACGGATGCATGTGTGCGGCCGCGTTCTATAATTATTATAAGCAAAATCCGGAGGAGGTATTTATCTAGTTTATGTCTCTGCGGCAGGCGAGCCGGTGAAAATGCTGCCGGAGATAGAGGGAGTAGTTGCCAAGTACCTTGATCTATTTGAAGAGCGTACAGGGGTTGTTCAGAGGGAGGTCGTCCATGCGATAGAGATTATCCCAGGGTCTCCAGGCGAGCTTGATGAGCTTCGTCGGCAACTCAAGGAACTCGTAGAGAAGGGTTGGATCCAACCGAGTGTTTCTCTTTATGGGTCGCCGGTCCTATTCGTACCGAAGAAGGAAGGAACACTGAGGATGTGCATTGACTATAGGGGCCTCAATGCCATCACTATCAAGAACAGAGAGCCCCTACCGCGCATCGATGACTTGCTAGATAGAGTGCAAGGGTACCGGTACTTCAGTAAGATAGATCTGAAGTCCGGGTGCCATCAGATTGCAATCCGACCCGAGGATAAACACAAAACCGCATTTCAGACCAGGTACGGTCTGTACGAGTTTGTGGTGATGCCTTTCGGCCTTTGCAATGCTCCTGGCACCTTTCAGCACGCTATGAATCGGATATTTCATGACTACTTAGATAAGTTTGTCATCGTGTACCTCGATGACATACTTATTTTTATTAAGATTGTCGAGGAGCACGTTGCGCACTTGGACAAAGTCCTTAGTCTTCTTCGACAGCACAAGTTCAAGATCAACGGTGAGAAGTGCGAATTTGGCCTCACCCATGTCTTGTACTTGGGTCATGAGATTTCTGTGGAGGGATTGAAGCCCGATGACGTGAAGGTGGCCAGCATTCGTGACTGGTCGTGTCCTCAGTCTGTGACTGAGATGAGGTCCTTCTTAGGGATGACAGGCTACCACCACAATTTTGTTCAGAATTACAGCATAGTGGCCGCCCCTTTGACGGACCTGACTTGCCTTGACACACCATGGGAGTGGACAAACAGGTGTGAGGTTGCTTTCAGACAACTGAAGCATGCATTGACACACCATGAGGTCTTGAAACTTCCTGATCCTGACAAACCTTTCGTAGTAACTACGGATGCTAGTCAATATGGCATAGGCGCCGTACTTGCGCAACATGAGGGGGAAAAGTTGAGGATGGTAGAGTACATGTCCAAAAAGATGCCCTCTCAGAAGTTGGCTAAGTCCACCTATGAGAAGGAACTCTATGCGATCTACAAGGCGCTCACCCATTGGAGGCACTATCTCCTTGGGAGGTTCTTCTACGTCAGGACTGATCACCAGACCCTGAAGTGGATGAGAACCCAACCTGTGCAGTCCGGCGCTTTGAAGCGTTGGATTGAAGACATAGAGCAGTATGACTTTGAGCCCCAATACATCAAGGGCGAGAACAACAAGGTTGCTGATGCGTTGTCACGTAGACCGGATTTCTCTGGTGCGCTGATCACTGAGTTTGGGCTTGCGGACGATGTTACTTGCTCTATGGTCGAAGCCTATCGCGAGGACCGGTTTATGTCTGAGATCATACGCAGACTCGAGGCGAAGGACAAAGTGACTTCTGCCGAGTTTGTGTTGGTCAACTGACTGCTGTTCCTAAAGAAGGCAGGGAATAAATGTCTGTGTGTGCCAGATAGGGAGTCTTTGCGTAGTTTATTTTTAGGCGAGTGTCATGATGCCACCAGACATTTTGGCTTCAAGAAGACTGCAGCCAATCTGCTGCAGCGATTCTGGTGGCCCACGATAATGAGAGATGCCAAGCTGTACGTGGAAACTTGTCAGGTCTGTCAGAGAGACAAGCCTCGTACACAGGCCCCTCTTGGGCTCCTCAAGCCCCTTCCGATTTCGGAAAGCCCCGGTGACAGCCTGTCTATGGACTTCATGGACACGCTGGTCACCAACAAGAGTGGAATGAGACACATCTTTGTTATCGTGGATAGGTTTAGTGAGTACGCTAGGTTAGTTGCAATGTCGGGGACAACAAAGACCGAGTATGTGATCAGACTCTTCAAAGAGAACTGGGTCAGAGACTTTGGGCTCCCAAAGTCTATTGTTAGTGATAGGGATGTCCGATTCACAAGTGAGTTGTGGAAGGCTGCAGCTGCAAAACAAGGAATACAGCTGCAGATGACTTCTGGGAACCATCCCGAGGCCAATGGCCAAGCAGAGCAGCTTAACCATGTTGTTCAACACCTGTTGCGGCATTACATCAAGCCCAATCAGGTTGACTGGGATGAGAAACTTGCTCTCAGCGCCAGCCTGTATAACAATGTTGTGCACAACGCAACTGGAGTAAGTCCTAATAGTCTGCCACTGACTTTCAAGCCCAGACTGCCCCTAGACTTTCTGCTACCTGACAATCAGTCAACTGCTGCACTTGACACCCTTGAGTTTGCCTATCGCTATGAACAACTGATGCAGCAGGCAGTAGAACAGATGCACAAGGCACAGGCGGCAATGATAGAATCTGAGAACAAACACCGCCGCCCTTCTACATTTCAGATAGGGGACGAAGTCTGGGTAAAATCCTCAGAACTGGGACAGGAGCAAGGGATCTCCCGTAAGCTCATGCCACAGTACTTTGGACCATGGGAGGTTCTAGATGTTGTTGGGGAAGATCCTGATGGGCCATCCTATGTTATTTGAATCCCTGGTCATCTCCGCACTTACCCTGTCTTTCACGCCTCCAAGCTTGCACCATTCAAGGAAACTGACCAGTTTCCCTCTCGTCGCTCTATGCTGCCCCCAACCATGGAGAGGTCGACATCAACGACGTTGTTGATCACAGGGAAATGCCAGTTCCAAGCCCGACAGGCAGAGGACGTCCTCCGAAACCGAAGCTGCAGTACCGGGTTTGGTTCAGACATCACACTGATCCAAAGGAGGATAAATGGTTCACACGGGAGGAACTGATGCAGACCGCTCCACAGGTTGTCGCTCACTACGAGGAGTCTCTGCAGAAAGGAAAACGCCAGATTATCGAAGATTGAACTTCTCAGAGGACCAGCGAAGTATGGAGGAGGGAATGCGAGGCTTAGGGCCTCGATATGCCCTTCACGACCCAATTTTCACACAGTCGGCCGCCCTAAGTGAAGGCAGGCAGGAGCGAGTTCTACAGGCCATTTCAGGGTCACCACGCAACTGGGGAAATTCAGGCAGACGCAGCGCCAGTCGGTTGGAAGCACCCCGGGCCCAGGCTGCCTTCATTTCATGTAACTAAGGCAGGCCCTGGGCCGGATACACAAAGTGGACCGAACAAAGGTTGAGGGTAGTTGGGTGCTGGTAACCGCCTCAGGCCCTGGGCCTGTTTCCTTCGGATTGAGGCTTAGCCTCCCGGGGCCTACCGAAAGCTCCTGGGCCAGGGCCCAGTACCGCAGCACAGCGCGCAGCAGCAGACCACTTCGATATAGGGAAGGGCCTGCCCACGCATTGGACATTTGGGCACTGGCTGCTTTGTGCGCAAGCGCTGCTGCGCTATCGCCTGCCAGGCTCACACGCTCACGGGCGAGCTGGAAGCAGTAGGCAGCCATAGCCGAGCTGCGCTGCTGTATGCTGGATGGGGCGCATGGTGGTCCTTGGGTGCATGTGGCATCTGTGAGTTGGGGAACGAGGTTGTGAGTGATACGAGAGACATACCTGGTGCTTGACGCATGCGGCATCGACCGAGATCTGCTCGTACTTGGGAAGCTGTTGACGTCATTAGCGGCATTGTAGTCTAGGCTAGATAGGATCTGTCATTCGTAGTCTGGGCGCCGAGCGCTAGATAGGATATCAACATTGGTTCTTCGTTGATGATGACGAGACTATTCCAGCATTGTCAATTATGAGCTTTTGGTGTGCTTTTATTTGGTGAAACTCGTGATGCAATTCTGGTTTTGGTTCGAGGTCACGACTATCTGGTCTCATGTGTATGATGCTGTTTGATTGCTGAAGTTCGTTATTGCTCATCTTCCTTGCATTAGGATCAAAGATATAATCAAGAGTATCTAATTAGTTAGTTATCGATACCTGAACTTTAGTTAATTATCAATCCCTCAACTACGTGCATATCCTGCTCGACTTCTGTGGTGGATTTCGGTAATCAACGACTGTGATGGGTTGGGCACTCCTCTCTCATGGAAGCTTTCCATGAAGCGGGACCATCTCACCTGGGAACGAAACGACATGGCCATGCATTGAAGGAGAAGGAGAGGTAGGGTGGTTGCTCTATGGGTTTATAGGACGCCAGAGAGCACTCGGACTGTGTGTGCGTGTGTGTGTGTGTGTGTGTGTGTGTGTGTGTGTGTGTGTGTGTGTATAGGTACGCCATGTGAAAAAACATCATGTCGAAAAAGCGGTATGGTACTCCATACCACTATCAAGCCCTGAAACAATGCATCGGTGTGTCCCCATAAGATTTTATCAGACGAACACAGGATTTCACAAAGCCTTCCTTATCCATTTCAAAGGGACCATATGAGATTCTTTAGGGTAACTCAAATGCACCGACCAGGAGGTAGTCTTGCTCTTTGAAAAAATGAAAAATGCATTCTCTTCAAAAAATTGTGAACACATCTCAATGCAGAACAAAAAAAAACAGGTTCCATTGGGGGTTGCGGGTAGAGTAAATGCACATAAGAAAACAATTGACTAATTAGTGGAGAAAACATAAATAATAACGAAATCTCAAAAATAGATGCATAAATATAGTTGCGAAGGAGATACGACAGTGCGTAGACACCGGTTTCCGGGTTCGACGTTTGTCGGGGATTACGATACATCAAGAAAAATCGTAGTCACGTATATCGAGCTCAGTGATTAGGCTATGAGGTTGTTGGCTACGATCTTTCGTAAGCAAACAGAGAGTGAGAATCATTTGATTAAATTATATATATAGTAGTGGATTATTTGCGGATCTTACTCATGGATCCGGGCGTAGTTATAAGCAGACGCAAATGTCCGTACTAAATTATCGCGATAGTATGCAATCGCAGGGAAGAGAATTCAAGATCCGCATCGGTCTTTTTTGGATGGCCGAAATGCTTATGTTGTATTCATTATTAAGTTCCGTGTATATCTATCTTTTGCAAAGATGTGTGACAATCTGAGATCTAAAGCTAGGAATTGACAAATCATTGGATATAAATAAGAAGGGTGCGTTCGTTAGTGACTAGCCAACCTTGATCGAAAAAGGAATTACAATGAATGGATCATAGATTCCTTCTAAGAGAGGTTACCAAAACTACCCACATAACTTATTCACGTCTATTCATCCGACATCTTTTCAGTCAAGGTGAAGGAGACAGCGACTACTTATTATTATTAAAATTATGCAGATCGTAAGCATTATCCTGTTAATCGAACTTGAATCTGGGCGCAGATGCAAGCAATCGCAGGTAAGGGTATCGCGCTTGAGTTTGAGCACGACCCCTATCGCCGCAAAGGTTTGCAGGCGCCGCTTCGGGTAAGATCGGGTCATAGTATTCCATTCAAATAAGTAAAAAAGTATAAAAGTAAAACAAAAATATATAATAAAAAGGTAAAAAAGCAGACACATCATGCCATTCATCGATGAATAAAGCAGGAGTTCATCCAATCGAGGAGTATACTGGAGAAGAAGGCGGGGTAAAAGAGAAGGACGATCAATTCTCGCCAAATATAGAAGAAGAAGAAATGAAGGAATGACGAAATGACTCATGAAAGATTCGAATACTTGCGAGTAAACAAAACTTCCTTAATGGCCGCTTAGCTGGCTTGATCCCCAGTTCATCCGAATGATCAGAATGCAAAACTATCAGAAATATAACACCGACTGCATTCCCAGAGGTGATTCCACGTAATATGGGAATAGGCCTCGAGAACCAAAGCAGGGAGGGTAATGGTGATCCCTGAAGCGCTTTTCTACCGCTAGCCACTAATGCACGGCTTCGTCAGAGGGTTTACACCTGCTTAGTTACAAATGCTTCGACAGCTGGGGCGCAGAGGGCGGCGGCAGCGTTTGCAGATGATGCAAGAAGGCCAAGAGCGCGAGAAAGGCGAGCAGAGCAAGGGAAGCGAGGAGTACGAAGGCCGAGATCTCCACCGCTAGCACAACTCTCTCCTCCATGTCCTCCTTCTGAAGCGCCATAGAATGAAGCGTAAGCAATCTAGAAAAAAATGCACGTACTAGCCAACATGGGAAAACGAAGAGCGCGCGCGTGATCAGAAAGTGAGCAACATATACTCCCAGTCTTTGATAACCGCGAGGCTTGCGCTTCTGAGCAATCGAAAGTCAGCGCGGCAGCATATGTCAGTATGCAGAAGCAAAGATGAAGAGTCGTGCCTATGAGCGAGAACGCAGAGGATTATACCGCGTCTTCGGGGTTGCCGATCAGCTGGTCCACCATAGCCGGGTCCACTTCGTAGCCATGGTCGTTGTCTCCTCAGGACTTGAGCGTCGCAGCTTCTGAAGACGTCACCGTTGCAGCTTCTGAAGACGTCACCGTAAACACCAGGCGATGCAACTGGAAACGGTGCCACACCTGAAAGGCCGTACGCACGCCTTCGGTCAAACAGTGCGCATGTGCAGTGAAAGCTGGATGGGAGACAATGGGGCTGTGTCTCATTCTAAAATAGTCCCATCAGTTCGTCATTATCCCAAGTTTACTCGGGCTCAGCACAAAAACCCTTGGCGCGTGACTTTGAACCTGGCAAAAAATTCGGAACAAGAAAGACGGAAAAAAAAAAAAA